GTTAAATAACTCGTAAACTATTAATTTGTTTATAATCGTACCTTAATACTTTTATATAAACAATAATTAGAGTAATATGTGAAAAATCATACAATTCCATTTAAAAAAGTGAAGGTAACCTTGAAGCCTAAAAAAATATGACCTTAAGAAAAAATTTTTGCTCATCATAGTATGTATGTGCCCCTTCAAATCGAGAACAAGATGATCTGGTATTTTCCTGTATCATCAAAAACAACGAATCATTTAAAATATTTTAAATAATCAAGTTACAGGAAATATATACCCTGTATACATGTATACCAGAAATAAGACGTTATTTTTTTCAAACTTGTTTTGTTAATAAATAACTTTTTTAATAAATAACGAGTGACAGCTAAAACCTGTTGGAGATTACTCATGATTTTGATAACATATGTCAAGGTCGAGATCAATGGGGCTGGATCCCCTAATCGGTACTGTTAACTTATTTTTTTAAAACATAATAGTTAATCATGTTCATACAGTAGCGTGCAAAAGTTACTAGTCAGTGATATTTTGTATCCTAATTTAGAAAAAAAATCTGATAAAGTTTTAACCATTATCGCGTATCAGTACAAGATGTGAATAACAAAATCTTGTACTAACATCTGATAATGATTAAAATTTTCTCGGGCTTTTTTTTTAATAAATTAGTATACAAAATGTTACTGGCCGGGAACTATAGCATGCCACTGTATATGTATAAATTTAAAATAAATAGTAATAAATTAAAACATTATTTAATAATTTAAGATGTTCGTGAGAATTTATAATAATTTACAATTATTATTTACACTACCGATACTTAAAATAATAAAACTTATATATTTACATGTGACAGTTTTTATCAACTACGTTTTCCTATTTCACAACATTTCGAGCAATGCTTGCTAAAGAAGACGCGTTTTAAATGTAATCTACTGTATGTATTATACCTTTCTAATGTGAACAAAATTGATGACTAAAAATATAACTGTAAATATTTTAAATCATAGGGTAAGACGCGATTATTCCGTCAGTTTCAACTTTAAAGTAATATGCAAATTTACGACGGTAAACAATATCTCTTTGTAGTGACGTGCTTACAGCTACATTATATAATCATGATTGCCTAGAGAGCATAATCAAGATATGCTTGAGAGCATAAGCACAATCTTTAAATATTTAATATATATTGCACAAAAATATAATCATCGCGAAAAATGGACGAAAAAGCTTCACTTTACTTTATCTGCATCTGTGTTTGTAATTCAAAGTTAAAAATTAATAATAAAAAAATATTTACAATTAGAATTAGTGTCACTTTATGTTCCCTATTACAATACTCAATATCTATAATTTATATAATTTATAAACGCATAAATAAAATACTATTACAAAGAATATTATTTTGTTTCTTTTTTGAGATCAGATTTCAAAGACTCTTTTAAAGTGAAATTTCACACAAAAAAGAGTAAAAATTGTCATTCTTTTTCAAGAAGTGAAATATTTTTACTCTTCTCCAAAAATAGCTATATTTTTACTCTCTTAGAATGAAATTTTACTCCAAGAAATTTAGAGAGTACAAAGTTTATTAAAGTTTGTATTTTTTCCGATGAGATAGAATATATATTTTATAAATATTTCGTCTTACTAAATTAAAAAGAAATATTTGTTAATCGCTCTGTAAAGTTACAAAAAGACTCTATGCTATTTATTATTTGGTGTCGAATTTATTTTAGAGAAAGAGAGAGAGAGAGAGAGAGAGAGAGAGAGAGAGAAGAAAGGGAGAAAGAGAGAGAGAAAATATAAATCAATAAATTTTTTTATCTTATGGTTATTTCTTAAAATAAACATAATATAATATAATATTTAATTCTTATAAATTTTTGTTATAGTCCTACAATCTGTCTTGGCAAATCTATGATTCTCCATGGATAGATGCATCTCAAAATGTACCCCGAACAATTTTTATAACTGTCCAAAAATATCAGAAGCCATAATTGCAGTTAGCAGTACCAAGCTGATACCCATAATTTCTATAAGATTTTGAAATGTAAGGATAAATATTGTTATATGTATTAATATGTTTATTCTTATCGGGTTATAAATTACTAATTGTATTTATAGGTTTTTTACGTTATATTCTCGTACTTTATGGCATTGCAAACGATACTACGTTAGATTTAAAATGCTTCCAAATATTTCATGTACTGACGATTAGTTACTAATAAAATGTCTACAACGTTTATAATACATTTATATATTGTAATATAAATTTCTAATAAAAAAAAGTAAAAAAGGAAAAAATCTTTTCATAATCTCAATAGAAAATTTTTTAATAAATTGAACTTAATATTAACTCCGTTGTAATTCGAATTTTTACAACGTATCCAGTAAAGTAAAGGTCGATTTAATCCCTTGCTCATTTTTCATGTAATTAATGTACAAAATGAATGAAAGAAAAGGTATGTTCAGATTCCCATCCGGGTTCAATGTCATCTAACGCAGAAAGAATCAAGAGAGAATGGAGCGGATAGCGTTCTCTTCTCTAATTGATTCCGCCATTTATCCGCTCACTTCCGGAAATGTGCATGTGTGTATGTACATATATATATGTACATACACACAATATTAGTACGGTACAATATTAGTGTGTGCAGCACCGTATATTCCATCATGCTTCTACCAAATCTCCTATTCACTCGGCGAATGAATGACGACTTCTGGCTGAATCCGCTCCACTCTCCCTTGATTCTTTCTGATCTAACGTATAAACAACAAGGATGAAATGATACCTCGGTAACAATCGAGTGAGAATCTGAATTCAGCAAAAATAAACGAACCGTCATTTTTATCCCAACCTTACTACCGGGAGGTTAAACACACATGTGTTCAATCAAAAACTAAATATTTTAAATGTATTGGAAATCTTGATGTATATGCGTATATACAAATATATAACATAAAATACTTTTTCTATCTTACTTTATAATCTTATCTTTTAAAAAATACGTTTAAACAATAATGTGAATACCGCATGAAGTAAATCTAATGGACAATGTCCATTAAGAAAATAATTGTTCAGCACTACAATTGTCATGAATACACATTTTGTCTCTTATATTTATTAAAAGTAATTATATCATTAATCATCAATGATTATATTATCTTCGCTGATAAGATAATCATTTAATGCAAATATAATGTAAAGACTGTCAATGCATTACGTATGTTACATGCATTACGTTATTTTTCATTTATCAACAATAATTATACTCTCACCCTATCTCTCACACTTTCTAAAACATTGAAATTCGTAATGTACAATAGTTATCTCTCTTGACACACAACAATTATGCAGATTACATAAAGACATAGTGCGTGGTTCTCATAATAATTCAGAGTAGAAATATAAATGCTTCAGAACTACGTCAGAGTAAAATACACGCCAGTCGTATAATTTATTAATCCGCAAGATTGCACTATAAACACAAAGGAGAGAGGAAAATGAACAGAAGCTAGAAATAATAAACGTAATATTCTGAGATACTAAGCGGTGCCATAATGTGCGTAATATTGCACTACCTAGAAGTTCTTACCCTAGTTATATGAAATTCTTCATAAAATCGTGAGAAAAGCGCAGAAATATTAATACTCTTGTGTGAAGGAGTACGACGGCTTTCCATCTAACATGAAAATCGCACCGACTTTGGACAGAGTTATTGCTTTTCTGAAGATAGATTTATTATTCGCTTGTTGTTGGCCTCTACCGCGAACTGCTACAAAGTTTCAAATTATTTGTGATAGAATATTTCGGTATTTATCCATGGTGAATGGTGCATTCATGATTGTTGAGATAATATATTCAATTAGTAATCATTTAGACAATGTTTTATTGCTTATGCAATTAGCTTGTGCGTTGGGCATCTTTTGTGAAGTTCCATTGCAAATATTTTTATTTACAAAACAACACGATCATTTACAAGTAAGAAAAAAATTAATTATTATATCAATTGAATAATGTAACAAATGATATATAAAACGCATTATTTTCTACCGAACAACCCATACTTAAATATAACCTATACTTAAATATAAAATTTTGTGCAACGTAATATTGAAGTTAGGTAAATAAATTAAATCTTAATAAATTTACAGAATGTAATTTGCGAGATGGAAGATTATTACAAGCAAGCTAATACTGAAGAAAAAGATGTATTTCAACAATACATTAACAAATATATTTTATTTTATGGAACTACGTTGACATTAACTACTGCCATAACTTTCGCTGGTTGTCTCATAGTGCCATTAATTCGGTCCCGCAGGTTTCCGCTAGAAATAGAATATCCATTTCGCGTTGATTATCAACCAATAACAGCAATGCTCTATTTTCATCAAGTACTTGGTATGTATCAGGTTACTTGTCAAGTGAGCGCAAATGTTTTCCTCGCTCTTCTAATATGGTTCACAACGGCTCGCTTTGAGATCTTGACAAACAAATTCCGCACAGTCACCAAGTATTCTGATTGGAAAACATGCATACGAGAGCATCAAGTAACTCTAAGGTATTAAATAAAAATACAGATTAACTTTAGAATCAAATAAAATTATCACATTTCTTTATTACAAATTTTATTTCTCATATAAATAAATCGCAAAATTCTTCTGTATTATATTTCAAAATTATAATTAAATTCTCCCTAACAGATTTGCAAAAGAAATGAGTAGTTCTATTGCACTCGTAGTGTTATCATCGCTCGGTGTTAGTACTATAGCGCTGATATTCGGCGGAGTTACATTCCTAAGCGTGCGTATATTTGTTGTTTATTGTAATATAATTATTGTAATATTATTATACAACATCACACTGAATAATTTATGTTTGCATTTTTCATTAAAAAATTTTGGTTAAATAGCGATTTCCGCCATCCGTAAAAATTCAGTATATAATTGTATGTTTAACATCATTAATAAAAGTATTTCTGTGCGCTTGGCCGGCTGACCATCTAATGAGAATAGTAAGTCTGAAAGAAATGACCTAAAACTGGATATTATGACAAGTAAAATATAAGCAAAATATACGTATATATTTTTTAAATATATATTTTAGAGTTCTAATGTTGCTGAGGCAGCCTATGATTCATTATGGTATAATCAAAACATTGAATCTCAAAAGATTATATTACATACTTTGATACGATGCCAACGAGCTGTAGTTATATCTGTTCCTGGTTTACTAAAAGCTTTAACATTTCAACAATATACTTCTGTATGAGAATCCCTTGCACTGCCTTCAGTGTCAATCTCTATAATTATACAAAGTATAACGTAATTTATGGTACAATGAAGAAAGTATTTCCATTAAAAACATAAAATACAAAAACATAAAAAATAATATTTTATCTTATAAAATTATTTGAATGTGACTGCTTTACATAAAAATAGCATTGAAAATTAAAATTAATAATATTTTTGTTTTTTAACAGCTTAAACTATTTTTACAATGTCTGTCACTAATTTCGATTTGATAAACAACATCTTATTAAATTATAAAAAAAGAAAACGCATCTCATTATAAAAAATATATAAAATCAAAAAATTTAACTATATAATTTTTCTAATAATTCAACCACTTTTTAGTTAAAATGTTATCAATATAAAAAGAACGTAAATAGTTATGAATAAATATTTTTGTTCTCTGTCGTTAAAAATATTTTTAAAAACGCGTATTACAAAATTTTTAACATCTGTAAAAATTAACATTTTTAAAACCATTGAGATACTATCAGTATTTTAACCTTTTGTGCAGCTTAGATCTATATAAACTTAGATCTATATTAAAATCTTTTTTAATACTTTTTATTTTACATTTATGTAACATAAAAATTGTTCTTTTCCAATTGTACCATCAATTACAATATATGTACATATATGGCAGTAATACATTAAGTATCATTAGCCAATTATTCATTATCCCATTATCCTTTACAAGTTTTTTACATATTCATTGATTTTTCAGTACGTTTCAACAGCATTTTCTTACTTAACAACGTTTCGCGTAATTCTTTCTGAAGAAACATAAGTCCAAGGAAAAGAAAAATAAGGAAAGGAACATACAACTTTGTCTACATAAATACGGAAAAATACATCGGACTTAAAAAATAAAAAGTACATACTAATATAACAATTCTGCAGATTTATTATTAATTATAATTTGCATAATTTTAATTCTAATCTAACAGATTCCAGCTCTTAATTCAGTTTTATGAGTATTCAAATTTTTGGAATATAGAAAGACGAATTCTAAGCAAATCTCCTTTCTAAGCAAATATTAATAACAGTTACAAGACGGTATGTGTATATCCACGTTATACGTTTTGCACTATGAAATTTGTTTATCTAAAGTTTAAAAAGTATAATTATTACTGATGTAAGTATTAACATTAACATTTTATTTTAATGTAATATATGTATCAAAATATAACATAAATTAATTTCTGTACCTTGTTATATTGTGATTTTCGTTTTAAAAAATTATTAAACGTCAAGAGATTAAACTGATTTAATTAGAACTATTATAGTAAAAAACAGAATCAACATGAATATATTCCGAACTAAGCTAGGAAGATACTATCAGTGCTATATAACTTATGTTGTTCTATATAGAGCATAAAACAAAGGATAAAACAAGGATAAATGACACAAATACCACAGAACGTTTTCCAAAATACACCCTTAATAGCTTTATCCATTAATATATTAATTGGCAAAACAGCTGTCATGAATACACGCAGTTGTTTTCGTAAAAATAATGATTTCGTTAATTTCGATGAGTATCTAATAATTTAGTAAAAACCCGAAAAATTTACAAAGAGTTTGAATTCATAAAAAATTCTAAATGTATTGAAATATTTTCAGAAATTTAAGAACTTATTTTATGAATATATTTTCCTAGCAATACCCTTATGTTGATTTGGTTCTCGTAAATATTCTATACCACGAACACTTTTTTACATTTAAATATATCTCAGTAAAAATATAGTTACAATATTAAAGAACAGCTCTTTATGACCTAATTTAGTATATAAATTTATTATTTATAAACTTTAAAACAAGTAAAACTTGAACAATGAAAATCATATAAAAGAATTGTTTTGCAGCTTTAATATTTATCTAAGAACGAATTAATAATCTTTTGCAAGAAATAGTTAATTGTGACAGAATTTTAAATGGGATTCACACATTATCAGGTATTTTTCCTCTATTATATATTTTATAGTGAAATATATGTTAATAGATAAAAAAACGCGTGCATGCGTGTGTGTGTGTGTGAGCGTGTATGTGTGTGCGTGTGCGTGCATGTGTGCGCAAGTGTGTGTGCGCGCATCTTTTTTAAAAAAAAGTAGATTTGCTAGCGTTCGATAGAGTGGCAGATATACATAAGCGAATAATAAGAAGTTGTGGAACACAACATATAATTAAATATTTTATCAAAAAATAACGCAAAATTAAATATTTTATCAAGAAGGGAATAAAACTCTATCACGATACGCAGCAACATCTCCTAGTAAGTATATTTTTTAAGTATACTTTCCAAATGTATTTTTTATTATATATCCCTCTCAAGAAAAACAGATGCAAATAATACATGCAATGTATAAATAATTTTTCATAAACATAATCTTAAAATCATTATCTTATAAAGGACAATGAGTTTAAGATATCCCAAATTTGTCCAAATTGCTTTTTGGCAAGAACATAATCGGACATAGAATAGAAAAGTAAAAAAATTTACGAAAAAATTTCATTTAAACTCTTTTTCGGAACCGCTTACAGCAGACTTTTTTAACTCCATTCTTCTAACAAATATCAAATTTTCCGAACAAATGGCGCTTAGTTTAGTTAATAAAAAATAAGACACTACAACTTCTAACCGCTACTTTTTCAAAACTAATTAAACATCTGAGCAACTTTGCTTGTAAGAGAAACATCTATCCGTATATATGTATGCGATACCTGATAAGTATTGTGCTATCTGTCGACAAGTAGAACAACTTAAACTGAATAAAAGAATTCACTACAGTTATACAATATTCTCAATGAATAAAAAAACTAATTAATCTATTAATACTATGAGCAATGAAATACAAACGACATATACATCTTCAAGAGATGATGAGATATGTACATACAATAAAAGTATACTCTTCTTTGTGCTTCTATAACAATTTACGTTATTGATTATTCATAAATGCAATTGTATATTAAAAATTTACCTCAATACTTCTCTCGTGCAGTCATTGAGAGGCTCAATACTGTATTATTATCGAATGTAGCAATTTGTTATAAATATAAGAATTTACCTCCCTTTAATATTACATATACACTGCACTTCATATAAAATTTCTTTCATAAAACATTTAGTATCTCTACAACAATCGAATATTCAAATGTGCTATATGTAAATTATAGTGTACGTCATTTTTTCTCAGCATTGTGCACGAAAAATGTATGAATTTATTATGCTATATTACACGTCAAATATTTCCGCATTATAAACTGACGAAAAAAAAGGTTCTAATCTAATATTTTTCTAACATTTGACTCTATTTGATACAACGTAGCGCAAGAAGACGTTTAAACGCATATAATTTAAAAATTATTGCTGTACATTATATTTTCAATGAATTCATCGATGTAATTATGACGATAAAAACAACCCCCAAAAATGCTATCGCGTTTATAAAAGTGATAATCGCTTTGTCCTTTTCGTGGCCACTTTCAAAAAATGCTAGTAAATTTCAAATAACATGCTTCAAAATTTTACGCTCTTTGCTCTGTATGAATACAATGATATTGAGTGTACCTATAGCGTATACTCTTTATCGTAATGATTATGACCTACCAAGGATAACGAAACTATGGTGTACGTTAGGTGCAATGATACAAGTCTCTATAGAGATGACACAATGTGCACTACAATATGATCGATTGCAAGTAAGAAATGCATATCCATATGTGAGACCAATCTTCGATAAACCATTTTCAATCTGTACTATTCAATTCTATACAGATATTAATAAATAAAATATTTGACTCTGATATTATTGATAAATACTATAAAAATATTATTTTACTTATTATTTAACTTATCCATTTATTCACAGCCGGAATATAAACTATGTATTGCCAGCTGAAAAAATCGAAAATTAAATTTCAGTATTTGATTTCGGAAATGGAGTGTACTTTGGAGCGCGCGGAACTATATGAGAAAATTATCTACCAACGATATATTGATAGATGCGCGATGTTTTACGTGAGCTCCACAGCGGCAGTGTTTCTCGGTGCGGGTATAGGAGTAATCGTGCCACTGACAGCGGTCGATCAGATATTCCCGACAGAAGCAAAGTATCCTTTCAACGTGGAACACGAACCAATAAAGACTATTATCTTTGTACATCAGTTCATCGCTGTTTGGCAGTGCTTCTCCACTGTTTGTATCGGTAGTTTCGTCAGTCTTTTCATATGGTTTGCCGCGGCGCGTTTCGAAATCTTGTCGCAACAATTTCGTATGGTCACCGACATTTATGACATCACTGTGTGTGTACGGCAACATATAAAATTATTGAGGTAACAAAAAATACATTTCATCATTTATAAAAATTGATAATCGTTACTATAAAGAAATAATTTTTATTTAATGTGTATTTTTTTGTAGTATAGTTTAGCATTTAACACATCATTTTTTTCATGTTAGAGCTATCTAGATACTATCTATTACTTCGTTTCATGTAAAATAAAATTATGTTATGATTATTATAGATTATTAGACAAAAATCAAATTCATTAAATGTTGTGTTTTTTGTAAAATTACTTTGTGTTTTTTGTATCTAGTGGATTAATTTTTCTGAATATTATTCTGCAAGAGCCATAATGTCGTACTTTTAAAAAAACATTAGAAAAGCTTAAAACATAATAATTTTAATTATTAGTTTAAATTTCATAATTGATTTTGTCAAGGATAATTAATAAATTTTTTAAAGAACAAAATCATTTCTAAATGAAATATAAAATTTGCAATATACAAATATTTTTAAAACTTTAAATTTTTAGACATAATGTACACATATATACTAGCTCTCATGAATATTTGGACATTATATTTTTGTCACATTTCACAAAAAGATAAAGAAATGGCTTCTTTTACCTACAAATCGATTTTCTACAAAATAGCACAATAAAATTCATTGGCGAAACATTGGTTAAACATTGGGG